AGGGGTGGCACCGAGAGGGCAGGCCGGACCTCCCGCCCGCCGCCGCCTCACCGAGCGCTGGGCCACCGCCGCGAGGCCCCGCGCGGACGCGGACACAGGAGCCAGTCTCAACAGGGTCAAAGCCATAGCTCCGCCGTCAGCACCAGCTCAAGGACCTGAGGGGACGCGGTCGCGCGGGGTCTTCTTTCGGGGCCGGCGCGCCGCCGTGACGTCACGACAAGGTGCCCTCGCGCTGCCTGTTGGGAACATCACGCAGGGCGCAGGCGCGGAGAGCGTGCCCGGGGGTGGGGCCGCCGTAGTCTCGGCCTCGTCCCGTTCTCGCAGGCCCCTCCTAGCCGGCGTCCGCATCTCCTCTTTGAAAATGTCTGCAGCTCGGAGACCACCGAGGCTGGGCAGGCGGCCGGGGCTGGCCGGGGAGGGAGCCAGGGCGCCTGAGCCGCCGGAACCAGGGGCGGTGGACGGGCCTTCCCGCCCAGTCACCGCACGTGCAAACGGAGGTGCTATCGATGGATGTTTCTCTGATGTGAGAATTCCTGCTTGTCTCAAATAGGGTTACAGCCCGGTAAATGTCAAAAATGCACTTAGTACCCCCAACCCCCTGAACATTATAGCTTCGCCTAAATCACCTTAAAGGTGCTCACAACACAGAGCACAGTCCAGTGTTCGTTATTGACCCCTCCCGATCGCATGGCTGGCGAAGCTGCCCCTGTCCGCATCACAAACACTGGGCTGTCTATCACCAGCTGGGGAAGGACCCACACTCTAAGTTCGGCTTCTGCTGGATGCGCAGCGCTTCCGCACTTGGGCAGTCAGGGTCCCGGTACAGATTCCCAGTTCCCAAAGACAGAAGAGTCGCCGTGGTATTGAAACTGTTCAGTATCTTGGTGGTGATGGACTTACACGTTCTCAGTAAATAGAGGGATATATGCCTTGTCCTCAGAATTGTAAAGACAACAAAGAAGGTCTATAGAGTCAGCACAATCTCAATAAAAATCCAACTATTTTTTCTTTTGTTTAAGTGGACAAGCTGATACTAAAATGCATACTCCCACCTTTACTTAGGAAATGCTAAAATAACCAAGCCCAATGGTGAAGAAAAAGAACAGTGACAGAGGACTTGCTACCAGATATCAAGATATATGAAAAGCTATAGTAATTGCGACAGCATAGCGGTGCTGCAGGAATAGACAGAGAGACAAATGGACAGAATAAGGAGTCCAAAAGAGATGAGGATGGATGGATGGATAGGCATTTGGTTATGAAGAGAGACATTTCAGAGAGATTTCCATAGGGCCATGCCCCATCCCGGCATCCCTTTAAGAGTCTAGTTTCCCATTGCCCAACTCCCTGGTCACAGAGCCGGGTTATCGGCCACTGCCCGAGAGTGAGTGAAAACTCCCACACAGGATGTCCACTGTTGTTTAGTTCTTCCATCACGGCAAGGAACCCAGCATGCAATTCAGCCCCACTGGTTTGAATTTGAGCTAGCTGGTTTCTACCTTCCTCAATCAGGGTTCTCCATCAGTTGGTCATAGGGTAGCTGAACTCCCAAACATGCTGTCCTTCCACCTCGAACCCTCATCTCATTGGTCAATCGAGAGCTGATATAGGAGACTGCCCATGTGGCAGCAGAACCTGGCAGCCCCTCAAGTAGTTCTGAAGTCAGCCAGAGAGAACACCCTCACATGCCTCCTGGGAACTGCTCTCCTTATCATAGTGTCTCTAACATCACCCAAGACATGATGGTTATTTTGAGTTTCAAGATTACTTTCTGTCCTCAGTCCTAGGGACACTTTCAGTCAATGCCTAATAACAAGCTAGTAATTGTCTCTCATATAGTGATCACCTTATCCCTGCACCTGGAAATGTTTTGGTCCAAAATCCCAGTGGTTGCCACTGGGTGGCACTCATGGGCGTTAGCTCTGAGCAAGTCTGCAGGAGTGTGAGTTGCTGGTTCCTCCAGATCATATCTGTTGGGGATCATCAGGGCCAAGGGCATCCATAGAGATATGTGGACAACCTACTGTTCAGGCCACCACTGCCTTTTGGCCTTCTCTTGGGGAGGGGTAGGTGCTGGCAACACTCCCAGATGTGAAACATGCAACCTCCAAAATCAAGACAACCCAGCCACACACTGTTTCTTCCTTATTCCAGGGAGAGGCGATGGATGAAGTTATTTTCCGTTGCCTGTGGGATGTTGAGGATGGCTTCTGCTTGTGTTATTTCTAAGAATCTCGGCCAGTGGGAGGGCCCTTGGATCTTTGCTGGTTTATCAAGCAGACTCTGTTAGTCACCTGTATGAGCATTAACTTAAGCCAGTCCCCACCTGCTCTTCAGTTTCTGATATTATCATATCAACATAGTGTTTTATTACACTCAGACCCTGCATCAAGTCCAACTCCCTTCTAACCAACTTACGACAGTAAGCTGGTGAGTTCTGAGAGCTATGTGGCTGTTGGATAAATGTGAATTGGGATCCTCCCCGCATGCAGGCAAGCTGCGGCTGGCTCCTTCCTGAGACTGAGGAAAAGCATTTGCGAAAGCCGCCCGTGATACAAGTCTCCTTTAGCGTGCCGTAAGTTTTGCACTATTGAAGCCACAGTGATAACTGCTGATGCTAACAGGAGAACTGCTGATCCAAATCTGGAGTCAGTCTCCACAAGCCGCTGCCTTTCCCACAGGCCACATGGCACTGTTACACAGAGAATCTGATTCCACGCATTCCAGCTTCTAACATGTTGCTTATTAAAGTGCTAATCTCCTTTTGTCCACTAGGTAGGTGTTCTATGCTGTTTCAAATTAACAACCTGTGCAGGCTCAGGCAAATCTATGGACTCCCATGTAGTATGTCTAATTAATACTGACCAAAGGGTGAACATCCATGCCTGCTGTTTTATAATACTAGGTAAGGGACGTGCTCCCTGGTCAGACATAATATCTGTCTCAATAATACATTCATGCAGAGGAGATGCAGCCACTCAATGAAGTGCATTCAAACATTCCAGTTCTTATAACTTCCACCTTAATCCCAGCCTTCCAGTCCAGCTCCATGTCTCCCCATCCAACTGTATCTCCCATTTTGACTTTACCAATGGGAGACGGAACCACAGCATTGGGCTTTCACATCCAGGAGCACCAGAAAAGATTTTTCTCCACCTGCTGGCCATTATCCCACACATGCATATGCCTTCGGTTGAGCTAGAAGATGCTGGCCCTTTGCAGGCCTCATCCTGAAGACTGAAAAATACTGATAAGAGAAACACTAAGTAATATAACACATTGTTAAAAGAAAATAACAAAGGCCTACAATTAAATGGCAAGATATACCATGTTCATGGATTAAATTTTTCAATGTTGTCAAGATGCTAATTCTCTCCAAGTTTATTTATAAATTTCAAACATTCACAATCAAAATCCCAGCAGGCTTTAGAAATTTAAAATCTTACTCTAAGATTTTTATAGAAAGAAAAGGTCCTAGGAGAGTCAAAATCATTTTTGAAAAAGAAACTAAATTTGAAGGGTATCTACTACCTAATTCAATAACTACTGTAAATTCAGTCATCAGGTTACCATGAAATTGGCATATAGATATATAGTATATACTATACACAGAATAAACTACATATAAACGGAATGTACTATAACCTAGAAATTGACCATATATAAATGGTAAATTAATCTTTGAGAAAAGTGTCAAGGTGGAGAAAGGGTAGTCTTTTTGACAAATAATCCTGGAACAATGGAAATTTTAAAAAATTAATTTAGAGTAAATATGGTGTTTGGGGGCTTTTAATATCTTACCAAATATCATGTTTACTGTAGATTTTTCTTAATTGGAATGTTCCTTCTGATACAACTTTATGGACTTATAATTTGTTTATAAATGTAAAGTTTTATGAGCTTTGTCAAATGAATATAGTTGGGCAGTATGACCACAATCAAGATCAAACATTCGATCATCCATTCAGATTTCTTATTGGCCATCTGTGTTTCACCAAACCCAAAGATCCTGCTGCAGATGAAAGCAATGCCATCTCGATTGTGAGCTAGAACGTCTGTATTACGTAGGAAAGGCAGAGTCCGCTCTAAGTGGGATACCTGGAAGCTCCTCAGAGAAGTCACTTCTGGTGGAGATACCCTTGTGGTGGTTTGGTCATTTGTTGGACGTGTTGTGGGATCAGGCTGATCTCTCCTTCCAGATGGTCTTTGTCTATACAGCGGAGAAAGCTGCCAACACCGTCCATACATCACATCTCCCAGTTCACCTCTTCCAGAGGCTGTGAGTTGCTCTTCTGGTCAGCTTTCAAAAACTGGGGGGAGACCTCTAATTGTCCCTCCTTCTGTGGGGTGCCTTCTCCCAACTAGACAAGGATGGCCATGATTCTGACTAAGCAAGAGGATGGCAGCATCCACATTTTGGGGTGTTTTTTTTTTTAGAAGGTATAGTTACTATAACCAGTTTGTTTTATTTTTTAAATCCTCACCTGAGGATATTTTTTAAATTGATTTTTCAGGAAGAGACAGAGAGAAAAATATTGATCAGTTGCCTTCCGCACACTCTCTGACCAGGGATCAAACCCCCCACCTTTTGGTGTACAGGTTGACATTCCAACCAACTGAGCCACCTGGCCAGGAGATCTGTGGGGCAACAGGTGGGGCGATCAAGGGGCCCCCGCTGGCACCCACATTGGCAGGCCTGGTGCTGCCCACTCACTGTCCCTGTCCCCCATCGCCGCTGCCAGTCGCCTCCCTCTGCAGGGTGACCAGCAGGGCAATCGGAGGGCCCTCACTGGCACCCACCTTGGCAGGCCTGGGGCCTGCAGGCTGGGGGCAGGTTTTC